CCACTATTTTTCACGCACGAGTTCCGAACCGCCAATATCGCGCCCGGGAAAGGTCGTGGTATTGGGTATATGGGCAGTTGAAGTCACCCCATCTTAAAGTTGCCAAGGCTGAGGAACCCTGCCCTAGAGAACTAGAAAGGCATCTGAGCAACCCACCTTGCCTCTGAAGCAAGAATACAAAACCAAGGGGGTCTGCTTCGACAGATCGCTGATGCCCCACATAGGATCCTAGGGGTCAAAAGGAAACTCAACCTGGGCAAGTAATCTGCTTTCAACCACTTCATCAATAACATTCTGATTTAGAAGAGAACTTTAATTTACAAGAGAATCAGACTCTACACTTCCCAGTCCAAAGGAAACCATCTCACAACCAGCAGATCAAGGTAAAAAGGGGCTTTGGGGTGTATTTTTTTCAATGTATGAGAGCAAATTATGGGGCAAGTCAAGGATGGAAAATTCCCTTAATGCATGGTGATTCCACTTTAACAGAACAACCGCAGTGCTGCTGCTTGTAAAATGTGAAGGATGTTTCTGCAAATCAAAATACAAAGCTGGGTACATTTCTGGGTTTCTGGAGCGTAGCCACCAATGATGGGGAGGAGGAGGGGGGGGGAGGGAACTCCCAGGCCTTAGAAAGCTAGAAAAGGGCAGTTGGCTTGTCTGTCCCCATGTTGTCATGAAAGGTCTGAACAGAAGGAAAGGGTCTGGGTGGGAGCTAAAAAAAGTGGGGCAAAGCTGAAACGTTCACTTCGTAACTATATTCAAACGCAAGCATTTGTTGCGCAGCACATACATTTAACTCATTTTATCTTTCTAGGAAAGCATTCAGTGTGATTTGTGACTACAATTAAAGCAGTCCTACTAGACAGAAAAGCACTCTAAGTAAACTCTTGTCTCCTTTATGTTTTGACATAAATGGCATCTTCATTTGTGTCTGTGTGAGTATGTACACAGACACAGATTCATACAGAAAAATCACTGTTTTTCCTGAAATGTAAGCCATTTTAACCCTCGGCCAACATGGCCATTGGCTACAACTTAGATTCATGGTTAGTTTGCAGAACATGCAATATCTTCATATTAAAATTAAAAACTCTTACTCATAAACTGGGCTTGTCCAGTTCATATGGATGTTTTTAATAAAGAACAGAATATGATCTATTCCAAAGAAGTATCTCTATAGTCAGGCAAAAATACTTTCAGAAACCAAAACTGGATGGAAAACAATGTCTGAATAAGCTGTGAGACTCTTCTTCCTCTTTGGAGTTAATCTTTGAGAGAGAAAGAAACTAACCAAGGTCCCATTCATACAACCAGTTCTCATGAGCATCCACAGGAAGGAAAGGCGGACATATGATAAAACAAGTCACGATGCAAACCATGTGACTTGTGAATTTAGGTATTACAACACAACTACAAAAAATGATGTGCTATTGTCATGTCATTGCGTACGTTGAATATGGTCCAACAGAAACCCATCTTAATCTGTTTGATCTCATATACAACAATAGCACTAATATGGTAGATAAACTCATGGAGCCAAGATAAGCAAGCATTGAGTATAGGGCTGAAACATCATGGATGTCCTTGGCTGTATTTTCCTTTTTTAAAAAATAATTTTTACTGAAAAATTTAAAAATAATAAAAAAATAATACAAACCAAATTCAGAAGAGAGAAAAAAATTAAAAGAAAAAGAACAGAAAGTACAAGGAAAGGAAAGAAACAGATTAAAGAAAAGAGAAACAGCTAAAGAAATGACTTCTGATCTTAATCACAAGTACAGGCAAATTTAGTATTTCTTCCCCCCTTATAAGGTTGCATGCATGGATCTCTTCTCTTGGCTGTATTTTCCTAGGGTGCCAACTTAAGGCCAAGGGAGACACCAGGCTTCTGAATGGCATATGTGGGGCTGCAGAAAATTAGTAGGGTTGGGATAGTGAACTAGGAGGAGAAAGCCAAAACCTAAATAATTTAAATTCGGTAACCATAAAAGTTTGTTTTTCAGTGCTTCATATAACAACTCTTCTCTTCTGACACATTAAAGATTACAAATTGGCAATATCTGAAGATGTGCTGGAGGACAAACCTAAGGATGTGGGGGACAGTCAAGAAGCCCAAGGCTCAGACTTGGTTCTTTTCTTTCAGACCAGAAAGAACTCATGTCCAGCTTCCATGCTGATTTATGAACATGGCAAACCAGACTTTGTATCTGTCTTTTTATTGAAACCATGCACTCATGCTTGTCACGCCTTTCAGGTTATCAATTCATGAGCCTGATGAACAGCTGGAGCTGAAGCCAACATTGATCAAAGCATTTTAGGGAGGCTGCATCTCATCTAAGAAGCACCAAGTGCTAATGGTTCTCTTTGTGTCCAACCACCTGACTTTCCCTGTTACCAAAATACAGCGGTCAATCTTAAGTTGGCAAAGCTGCATTTGACAACGTGACTGAGCTGATAAAAGCTCCTTTCTCCTTGCATCAGCTCTTAAAGCCTCCCTAGCCCCCTCACCTCCCCCAGCCTTTGCTCTAAAGAAATCAGGGCTATCATATCTGAGCTGCAAAACTCCAGATGTCCACTAGATGGCAGCAAAGAATTGAAAGTGTTTGTATGTCTTTGGAATTTTGTATCTCAGGTATGACAGCTTTAAAGAAATCTCATTACTATAAAAGCATCAGAAGATGCTGAGGATCAAACCCACACAGCAGAAGACAATGAACATAAAACATCCACTTTACTGGACGCACAAGTCACAGTCACTGAGAAGTGATTAAAGGAAAAATACACAGCATTTCCAGAGGAAAACTTGACATTTGGGAATTGGCTTGCAGTATTATCACTTATTACAGAACAGATATTGCTTTTAAGAATAGGTTGTTGACAAATATTTCACTACATAAAACACTTCACTGCATGCACAGATTCAGTCGCCTTTGAGTGCCCCCAAACTCCTTGGTCTCATCCTCCCTCTAAGCATTGGTTAATCTATTATGTTGCCAATTTTTTCACCCACAATCCACCCAGAGAAAGCTGCAAATGCTCCAAGTCCAACATTGTGCCTGAAGAATAAGCCACTGCATGAACCACTTTGTTTGGCCAACTGATCTAAGTAGGCATATAAGAGCTGAAAAAGCAAAGAAATCTACACTGGAAGTCTCTGGTTTCCTCTGACAGGTGCTCCTGGAGCTTGACAGGACTATCACAAAGCAGTAACAGATGACATCTAACTAAGAGTGACTTCTGTTCCACCACTGAACTACAACAGCTTTATCTAATCTTTTCTCCAAGGTGCTCAGATAGCTGGGGTCACACGCATCCAATTAAAAGATTATGTCTCTCCTAAACTGAGCTGGTGACCACAGGTCCATGTATTATTCTGGGAAATAATATGGAAGTGTTGGAACTCTAACCCTAATCTTTTGGGATGGCTCACACTAGCCTTCCGCTTTGGGATTTCCTGGTGGTTTCCCATTTAAGTGCTAACTAGAGCTTTTGGGAATGGGCAGCACAGTAAGGAAGGGAGGAAAAAGTTTATTTGGGATTCTGTCCCCAAAGTATCTTCATGGTCATCTAGCTAATCAGGGGCTCCAATTCAGATCACTCTGGCCCACGTCCAATGCTATTGTCTGCTGGTTCTCAAACTGAATCCCTGTTTTTTTCATAACTCCACTGGTCTGCTAAGTGAATATGGAGAGTAGAAGACACCAGAAGGTTTCCAATGATCATTAGTTTGGAGGGTAGAATGGAGAGAGGTGCCAGGAATTGAGAGTGAGAATAATTTTACAATACTTTACACTGAAGAATTAATAAAAACAACCTTGAACTTGTGAGAGATGGATAAAATATGTTATTATTGAC